ATCTCGACGTTTCGCTACAATTATATGTAGCTTCTTCAGGAGAAACAAAGAAAAAGAAAAAAGAAAACAAAAGAACAGGAAGATGGGTAGTTAGCAACGGTAACTCAGTTACTCAACGCAACCAGAGGCGAATACTAACTACCAAGATGGGCATTTGGTCACAGTAACTCAACTACTCAACGCAGCCAGAGGTGAAAACCAAATGCCAGGACAGGGATTCGCGTCCAACAGCTCAGAACACTAACGCGTCGAGAGGCGGGGAGTGAATCCGGGAATCCAGGATTCACTCCCCGCCTCTCGACGCGTTAGTGTTCTGAGCTGTTGGACGTGAATCCCTGTCCTGGCATTTGGTTTTCACCTCTGGCTGCGTTGAGTAGTTGAGTTACTGTGACCAAATGCCCATCTTGGTAGTTAGTATTCGCCTCTGGTTGCGTTGAGTAACTGAGTTACCGTTGCTAACTACCCATCTTCCTGTTCTTTTGTTTTCTTTTTTCTTTTTCTTTGTTTCTCCTGAAGAAGCTACATATAATTGTAGCGAAACGTCGAGATGAACCCACTTTTGGGTCACTCACAAATGACACGGTCCAAACCCGGAAGACGAATAAACTATAATTCTGACTCTGGCCGTGGAAGCCTACGATTTCATTTAATATACAGTATGGTGGAAATGAAAGGAATAAATTCGTTATTTCGTAAACCGGAGACTTTAAGGAAAAATCCTGAAACCCGTCGATTTTTATTTTTAAATAAGCTATTCGTAAGAATACATTTTTATTTTTGACGTCATCTATGTGAGCGTGATGACGTCATTGCTAAAATTTTTAAATAGAAAGGGGGTATTGTAATACATCATTTGAAAGGTCTTTTAAATACCTATTCAGCCATATCAATATGTCTGAGTATTTGATGTTTGTAATTGTTTAAACAAATTATTAAATATTTATTATTACAATAAATATTTATTATGTATTGATATGATGTATTATTGACACCCAAAAATAAATTTTATAAAGGCCATCACTGGTAATGAAATGTCTTTTTTATCTACTTTTTACCTTTTTAAAAAAACTACCTTATTAATATAAACATTGATAGTTGGACATTCAAACTTAATTATCTTTCTGTCAAGTGATTAATAGTATTATTGTAGTAAACGTATTCAAAAAGTCTTTGTATCTTTGAACATGAAGCTAGCTGAAACGCAAAGAATTGAAATTCTCATAATGATTGGTTATGGAGATAAAACACGTACGCAGAAAGAAGTATGTGCGTTATTTAATAATAAATACCCCCGTCGAGAACCAATTTCACAATCCACTGTAAGCAAAATTGAGAAAAAGTTTAGAGAAACGGGTCATGTTAAAGACCTTCCTAAAGGTAGTAGAAAACCAATATCTAAAAACCAACAAGTAGACGTTCTGTTAGCTTTTTAAGATAATCCTTATAACAGTTCACGGCAAGTAGCATTAGATAATGACATGGACCATTCAACAGTTCTTAAACAGCTAAAGAAGGAAAAGTGGCATCCCTACAAAGTAAGTTTAGAACAAGAACTTATGGAAGATAATTTTTATAGACGAATTGAATTTTGTGACATTATGATGGAACGAAATAACAGAGATCCGATGTTTTTATAAAAGATTATTTTCTCTGATGAAGCTACATTTCTACTAAACGGTCATTAAAAACGGTCATTAACGGTCAATCGTCAAACTTATCGGTGCTGGGCTACGGAAAATCCACACTGGATGCAAGAGTACCGTACTCAATACCCAGAGTCAATACCCAGAGAAAATTAATGTTTGGGTGGGAATAATAGATAATAGGTGTATTGGACCATACTTTTTCGAAGAAAACTTAACAGGTCCTTAATATTTAGAATTTCTTCAAAATTTCTTGCTTCCAGAATTGAACCGGTTGTCCAAACAGAAATGATTTATGGCTACAGCAAGATGGTGCGCCTCCACACTATGCTGTCTTGGTACGCAACTACTTAAGCAACGTCTTTCCAAATCGGTGGATAGGTCGAAGAGGAACAATAGAATGGCCGCCTAGGTCACCTAATTTGACTCCTCTTGATTTCTTTTTATGGGGATATTTAAAAAGTAAGGTGTATCATCAAAATAGACCACAAAATATTAATGAACTGAAAGAAAGAATACGTAATGAGGTTGTTCAAATAACTTCGGAAGTTTTAGAGAATGTTAGAGAAGAGTTCGCGGCACGCCTTTCTCATTGTATTTTAGCTAAAGGTAAACAATTTTAGTACTTAATTTAGGTTTCGTTGTATTTATTGAATAATACTTAATCAATAAAAATAAAAATTTAATTATTTTTTTAAACAATTACAAACTTTAATTACTTAGACATATTGATATAGCTGAATAGGTATTTAAAAGACCTTTTAAATAATGTATTACAATACCCCCCTTTCTATTCAAAAATTTTAGCAATGACGTCATCGCGCTCACATAGATGACGTCAAAAATAAAAATGTATTCTTGCAAATAGCTTATTTAAAAATAAAATCGACGGGTTTCAGGATTTTTCCTTACAGTCTCCGGTTTACGAAATATCGAATTTATTCCTTTCATTTCCACCTTACTGTATATGAATATTGTAAATGAAAGTGATAAACTATGAAAGTTGCTCTAAGATGTGATTGGGCGCTAGGAAAATGATTGAAATATTTAGTCTTCATCACAAATGTAATACCTATCTAAATATATATAGTCTAATTCTTTATGCTACCCATCACCATTTATTTACAGTTAACCTAGTTACTTATATACGAAAAAAATCCCTCGTTATACAAAATTGATCCTTGATGATCTGAATTTACAAATAATAAAATATAAAAGAAAATTTAATGAGTCTACCTAAAAAGGTAATTTACTTGCCTACTAGAGATGTATCTGTATTTCGGCTTTCAATTGATGTCCTAATAAAGTAATAAGAAAGAAATAAAATATATTTATATAAATAAAATAAAATACCAATACCGAACTCTCTGATTAAATGTGTACACATAAAACCATACAACAGAGTTTATAGGGAGGCTTTAATATCTCAACCTGTAGGTGACAATAAGTCGTTAAATCTTATTGAATATTATTTAAAAAAAAATGACGGGTCTTTATTATTAGATGAAATAGTATGATGTAAAGTTGAAAAAAAACATTATAAATATTAATATAAATATAATAAATATTAAAATTGATGAATAAAACTTAATATAAATTAACAGTGGTCCACACTCTAAATGAGAGAGGGAGGTCTTTCCGGCTGGTTCCCTGAAGTTATCCGGGAATAGTCTTATAGAGATCTGGACTTCTGAAGGAACAGCTAAGGGTGACGGGCAAAGATGCAAATCCAATGGGGAACAACTCAATTCCTTGTTTCTTGAAATAAACAAAAAAAAAAATAAAGAATCCTTGACTCCGGATTTTAACTTCTTTAGTAGGCTTAAGCGAACATTTGTGTTAGTATTCCTCTTACTATTGAAAAAAAGAAGGGAAAACACAAGGTTTATTAACCTTGAAAGTTAGTACAAAAAGTTACTGAGGAAGCTTGTATGTAAGCAAAAAGCTTTAATGTTTTTGTAAATAATGTGACCTTCGTATGGTTTGACAATATTTTATGTAAAATGAATTGATAGATAATTTTAACGAAAAGCATGCTCTGGATATATTTTAGAATATAAAAGACCGGTATGAGAGAGAATATTTTTTATAGATAGTCTTAATTGCTAATAGATAGTTTTAAAGACAGATAATTATGTTTTTAAGGGCGGGAAGTAAAAGAGAAAATTGATATGATTTTATATCATTACTATATTTAAATCCAGAATATTTTCTAATGAAATGATGTGAGAAATGACAGATAGATATATCAACTATCAAAAGAAAAATGACAATATTATAGAAATCAGAATACTTGATGGTTTTTATACTTTTTATTGATAATTGGATCCACCTACCGGCTTTGAGTGGCTACAGTACATACTACAAAACAAACTAAAAATTTTCAATCGTTCTTCTTCAATCAAAAACAAATTTAGCACTTCTCCAGCCGCCTACTTTTTAGTTAACCCAACTTCTCTTCCCCGAAATTAAACCAGAGTGTGCGCTTAATGCTAGTCGGGTAAACATGTCTACCAAAACTGCTGCTTGGAGTCGCTGATTAATACCAACTTAGAAATTACAAATTACTAAGTAATATCGACTAAATATTGATTTATAAATTTTATTTAAAGTGACGAAAGGATTATTGAAGTGACGGTCTCGTTACAAGGAGTCATAAGGATGAAGTACCTATAAGCGAATGGTGGAGCACTGTAGTAAAATTAAACCTCAACTGTCTTTCGTAAATTATTTTTTCCTGGTTTACCTTTAAATAAACTTTTCTGTATATTCTTTATTTTACAATATATTCTATTTTCCGTTTTTTTTTTGTTGACATTTTCGGCACTTTTGTAATAGTTCCTTGTTTTCGTTATTTCCACCTTTGGTCTTGGTTAACACTTAAAAACTTTCTCAGTGATGAAACTCAGGCGCTACTTAACAATGTTTTTACTTAACAAAAATTTTGAAATTCTTTGACAGTAGCTTAAGAAATTATGGTGGAGATTATGAGCTCTGTCATAAAAACTGCACTAGCAACAATTTTCAACGCAGCATGGATCCCCATTCTTCCGGAGTTTTACTGTGGGTTACAATTTTTTTTATTACTACTGTTAAATGTTCCGTCATGTCTGCTCGCAATATTTCATCGGTTCATTTGGTATCCATTACGAATTACTTCGTAAAGGAAATAATTAAGTTAATATGGATTTAGTGCATACACAAAATATCTTTCAGATGACAGCGTGGAAAGATCAATAAGGCGGTTTTTTTTTAAATCTACAATTAGATCAAAAGGAAGATCGTCTAAGTTAAATATGAAGCTGTTAAATCTGAATCAAATATGAATCTATCGATTATAATATTATTATCTCTCACCTTCATTAAATGTAATTTTGTTTTCGCTAGCCGTACTGCTGCTTCGGGTGGATTTGGTACTCTCATGTTGGTACTTTCGGCGCGGGGTCGACTGACTAGAGTAAGGTAGTTTGTTGTAGTACGATTTCTGCTGAAATGTCTTCGGCAACCTCGTCGATGTGGTAATGTGTGATTCTTCGCTGTCGCTGTGTTCATCTGAAAGAAATAACGGAAATGGATCAATCAAAAGTGAAATTAGAATAAGTTTTGAATATATAAAATAAAATATAGCTTTATAGAATATATAAAGCTAAAATATCTTGTCTGTTTCTTCTTACTTTATCAAATATTCGGTCACGTATGTTTTTAAAACTAAAATTCAATATTGATCAAAAGCTGTATAAGTTTAAGTTTAAGTATGGTATAGTGACCAATAGGAACAGCTGCATAGCTATTACCATTATATTAAGTATAAAATCCAAAAGATAAAATAAATAAAAAGTAAAATAAAAGTCCCAAAACAGTGTTTTTGTACTTTGGGAATTTGGAGCTCAGATTCAGATTCAGAGCACAAAAAATCTTGTGAAAAGTATATTCTCTCGATTCAAATATTGATCAAATTTTTGTAATTAGCAACGAAGTAAGTCCCTTTTTTTAACTATAGCTAGTTTGTTTATAAAAATTACGAAACCTAATTAGCGGCAATTGAAAGATCAAGGACTCAATTGTTATAGCAAAAGTTTATAAAATATTTCCTTTGAACAGAGTCGTCTATAGAGCTTCAAAATGTGAAGCCTGATGTTAGTCAGGTTGGCGTAACTCCAACAACTGAAATAAAGTTTTTCTAACTCCATACAAAAAAAGTCAATGCAAAGGAGTGCAATGAACATCGCACCATAGCCTCAATGAGTCATGTCTTGAAATTGTTTTTGAAAGTAATTCACAATAGAATACATAAGAAATTAGATGAAGGCATAAGTATTACACAAACGGGATTTAGGAAAGGACTGGGAACACGAGATGCACTGTTTGCAGTAAGTGTTCTTTCGCAGAGATGCTTAGATATTAATCAGAAAGTATATGCCTGTTTCATTGATTTTGAGAAAGCATTTGAAAGAGTGGAGTATAATCGGTTTAAAGAAATTTGATTAAATAAAAATATAGACAGTAGAGACATTACAACCAAACATCAAAAGTGAAAGTTGAAAATGAACTGACCGATGATAGATGATATCCAGATTCGCCTTGGGGTCCGCCAAGGGTGTACTTTATCACCCTTGTTATTCAATTTATACAGTGAAGCCATTTCAGAATTAGCGCTTGCCGAGATCAGTGAGGGCCTTATAATAAACGGTGAGCCGCTTAATAACATAAGATATGCTGACGACACCGTTCTTCTGGCAGGAACACTAGAAGAACTGCAACACCTAAATATAATTATATTGCAACGATTATGGACTAAAACTAAATTTGAAGAAAACCAAGTTCATGGTATTTACAAAAGCACAAAACATCAAAGTTAAGCTAGTATTAGATAATACAGAAATTGAACAAATATCTTCGTACAAATACCTTGGAGCATGGATCACAGAAGATACTGATCAGACAAAAGAAATAAGATGCCGCATTGAAATTGCACAGTCAACTTTTAATAGAATGAGAAAAAATTTTTGTAATCGCGATATCAATATATCGCTCAGGATAAGAATGCTTCGATGTTATATTTTTCCTACCGTTTTGTATGGGGTTGAAACTTGGACACTTAAAAAATCCAACATTAAAAACCTAAAATCATTCGAAATGTGCTGTTACCGACGTATTTTGAAAATATCATGAATGGATCGCAAAACAAACGAACAAGTTCTCGAACAACTAGGAAAACAATGCGAAGTTTTAAATTTCATAAAAATTAGAAAATTGGAATACTTGGGGCACATCATGAGAGGTGATAAATACGAACTACTAAGGAATATAATACAGGAGCAGGGTAAAATAAAAGGCAGAAAAAGCGTAGAAAGACGTAAAATCTCGTGGCAACACAATCTCCGTGAATAGTTTAGATGCAGTTGAATTGAACTATTCAGGCACGTAACCAACCAAATTATAATTGCCAGGATGATTTCCAATCTCCGATGGGAGTGGAACTTGAAGAAAAAGAACTCCATACTCAAAATTGACTCAAACTGGTTGCATTGCTCCTGTAGTGATCCTATCCCAAGTTAACATGCTCCTTTTCTAACTACGCTGCATCATACTGAAGACGACGAAATAGTCAGAAATAGACTCCGACAAAGTTTAGTTTGGGAATATGACTCATAACTCGACGGTGCGCAGTGGTTTTTGTTTACTAGCGTTACCATAGAAACGGCCAGTTTTCAGTTTGCCAGTGTCGTAGTTGAGTATCGCAGAGAGTGTTTGACTTGTTAATTTGATCGTGTTGGATATTTTATTATTTTATTTTATATTAGTGCTTATTAGTATAATATAGGTAGTAGTAATTAGTGAATTATTAAGTCGTTTAGTTTAGTTTATTTATAGTGTGTTAAGTTTAATTAATAATAGTTATAATATGGCTTCTAAAAAGATAGGAACGAAAGAGCTGGGATTAAATAGCCAAGCAAAGGCAATAATTTATAATGTTACTACATTTATGGAACAAGAGGCAGCACATTTCGAAGCAACCGAAAACTTGTTAATACCTTTAAGGAAATTGACGTAAGTATTGTCAATGATATTTTATTTTCTTATGTGTGTGTATGTGTGTGTGAAAAATATGACACGGAAACAAGTCCATTAGCCACATAATGATTTATTTATGTTTAAAAATATTTTGTTTGTTCTTGTTTGTTACTTTTTTTAGATCTTTTTAGATTTTTTGTTATATTTATAAATCATTAAAGTTATACTAATTTATATTTCTACTTTCACATCTTTAAATGTAAAGTGGGGTGTATCTGTAAATATGTATTTTGCGAGTTTTCAACAATATTCTCCCATTGCTGTTACCATTTCAGTCTAATTTTATTTTTTATTGAGTTAAATATATCCCTTACTGTATAAATATTGCAAAAGACTACATTTTGCACTGCTTCCTCAGCTAGAGTATCAGCTTTTTCATTCCCTGGTATACCTACATGGCCTCTAACCCAAATAAATGTTTTATTTAAGTTTACAATCATTTTTATTAAAAAACATAACATATGACACTTCATTCCTTCAAATTCTATATTTTTTATAGAGTCTAATGCAAATTTAGACTCTGTTAATATCACTCTACTAAAAGGTAATACCTTTTATATTTGCAACAAGCTCAAACTGATTGGATTGTATTTTGTATAAATACACCACAACCAACACCTTGTGATTACCTATTTACGATGTTTCTTCTGATACTTTCTACTATTTACTTGAAACAGAAAATAACCGATCTCAATATAGATTGTGTTAGTAAATATGAATAATATATGCATTTTGTTTCTCAATATTTTCATCTAGTAACATTTAACATTGGTAATTATAGGGATAGGATTCTAGCAGCTACAGGTATAAGTAAAATCACCTTATCTAAAATAAGAAAAGAAGGTAGAGAAGTTAATAAAAATGGAGCGACTAGTTCATCTTTTACAAGTCCAAAAAAAACGTTCCCGTATTAAAAAAACTCAATTGGACCAAGGAGAAGAAGAAATCATCAAAAATGTTATATATGACTTTTACACCATCGAGAAAAGATCACCGACAATTAATGGTAAATAGTTTAAAAATATTTTACCATTAAAAATTTTATTATCCTAAATAAAATAGAATAAGTACAATTATAAACCAATTGTTTGTTTGTATCCATTTAGAACGAAATTAAAGTTTTCTAGAAAAACACTGATATAGATACATTTTTAACAAAAACAGTAGATACAATTCCTTTACAATTTTACTAACTTAGTAAACAAGATTTACTTTCCAAATATTTTAACTATTTCTACTTATTTAGGTATTTATCAAAAACTCAAGAACAAAGAAATGGAATTTCCAGGGTCAAAGGAATCATTAAGGAAAACCATAATTGGATTAGGCTTAGAAAATTTTCAGAAGTGTTGATACAAGAATGGGCTAACATATGTAAACACGTAAAAAAATATGAAAACACTCAAATCGCAAGAGAACATTTATTGGACTCTACGCTGGACCACTTAAAATTTTTTATTAGTACTGGTTCATCCGAAGAAAGCTTTTCTGATGATGAGGATAGTAATTAAAATTTCGGAATAGACGTGTTTTGTGTGATATTCCTATGTCATATAACAAAATATAGAAGGCTTTAAAATCCATATTTTTTTATAAAATAAATACATTATTTCATTTGTTAAACTAAATTACTTATTTTTTTGAGTTGTTGAAACCCTTCCTTCCTTCCTGGCAATGTTAATAAATTGTAAGTATTGAGGAATTTGTTATTAATTAAAGTATTCCTAATAGTTTACTCATTATTTTATCGAATGTCTGTCTATAAACTTCATAAATATTAAAAACTATAAAAATGAAAATTGACAAATTCATTCTAACTTTATAATTGAATATACTTATAAAAATTTATTTTAAAGCTACCGGTTTCCGTCCGCCACTGGTAGAAAAGGTCCGCCTTTCTGCGCGAAACACGACGTCACATTCCCAAACTTAAGTTTGTCGGAGTCTACGTATTTACGGTTGCCTTCCATTGATATACCTTTATATATATATATATATATATATATATATATATATATATATATATATATATATATATATATATATATATATATATAAAAGGATTCCTTTTTTTCTATATAAAAAGTTTGAAATCCCAAACCGACACAATCTATTGTATAACATTTTTCTACTTCCGGCAAATGTTAACTTTTTTTAATAGACCCGATTAAAGATAATACACTAATGTTACTATAATAGATAATGAGTCTGCCGCACGACAGTTCGTAAAGGAAGACCTCTGTCGCGAGGTAGAGTTTATCATTATTTAAATTAACATTAAAAGGAAACCAGACTTGCATTGAAACAAACAAAAAATGTAGATTATGCATCGAGCAAAAAGATAAAAGAGGGAATCTAATCGTTATGAAAAGGAGACCAAAAAAGTGGCCTCTGATGGCGGACATATCCGGAAATGCAAAGGCGCTAAATTTTAAATTTTCCAACACTTATTAACAATAGCTATAAAATATTTTTCA